GACCTTTCTTGTAGAGAATTTCCTAAACTATAAATTTCATAATAAGTACTTTTGTCGTAGAACTAACGCATAACGAGATATTCGAATAACTTCGGTTCCACATTTTCAGTAAAGATTTTCAGCTGAAAGATTCTAACAAAATTGCTAGCCATCATACATAAAAGGGGTTACTCCTACAAAAAAAACTCATATGACCTTTTTTATAGAGAATTTCCTAAACTATAAATTTCATAATAAGTACTTTTGTCGTAGAATTGACGCATAACGAGATATTCGAATAACTTCGGTTCCACATTTTCAGTAAAGATTTTCAGCTGAAAGACTCTAACAGAATTGCTAGCCATCATACATAAAAGGAGTTATTCCTACAGAAGAAACTCATATGACCTTTCTTGTAGAGAATTTCCTAAACTATAAATTTCATAATAAGTACTTTTGTCGTAGAACTAACGCATAACGAGATATTCGAATAACTTTGGTTCCACATTTTCAGTAAAGATGTTCAGCTGAAAGCCTCCAACAGAAAAATAACTGCGAATAATTCCGTCGATATTTCTGTTGAATTGCAGTCGATAACTCGAAGCTTTCGATCAAAGTTTCTAATTATCTTCTCTACTCTTTGACTCGGCTCCTTGGCCTGTTAATAGCGTAACGCTAATAAACGTGCTACAAAGTGGTCGTGTCCCATCGATCTTTCCCAGCTGACCCAGAGATAACCGAAGGCCGTCCTAGTCGTACGTCTCTGGTCGATAATTGGCAAGGCTGTTGCCCGATGTCGAATAAGGTCGATCCTAAGGAGAACGACTACGAGAGGAAGAAGAAGTCTTCTCTGTCTCTCTCACGGTTCGTGTGTGCACCCGGAAAGAGAGAAATGAGTCACGATCATGTGAGTCAACGTTGATCGCGGTCAACAAAGGGTTATAATTATTCGTCGCGGCAAATGGCGTTGTCTTGCCCGTTCTTTGACTTGTTACATCTTGTTCGACGCATTTGGTCTCGTCACTTTTGCGTTGTACTTGATGTACACTTTGTTGGTAGTGGGACTTCTTTGGGGGGACGTAGAAAATTTAGGATTTGGGAGGTTGGTTTGGGGGATTGCAACTGTGGGAAGTTGAGAATTTGAGGGAGTACAGATTGGGGAATTATGGAATTTGGGGATTTAGGAATTTAGGGATTTGTGAAAGTGGAAATTTGGAGATTCGGGAGTTTGAGGATTGGACAAGATTTCGAATTCTCAAGTCCCGAATTCCAAGGTTTCGAATTCTCAAGCTTCGAATTCCAAGGTTTCGAATTTTCAAGCTTCCAAATTCTCAAGCTCCGAATTTCAAGCTTCCGAATTGTTAAGCTTCGAATTCCAAGCTTTCGAATTCTCAAGCCCCGAATTCCAAGCTTCCGAATTCTCAAGCTTCCGAATTCTCAAGCTTTGAATTCTGAAACTTCTGAATTCCAAGCTTCCGAATTCTCAAGCTTCCGAATTCTCAAGCTTTGAATTCTGAAACTTCTGAATTCCAAGCTTCCGAATTCTCAAGCTTCCGAATTCTCAAGCTTTGAATTCTGAAACTTCTGAATTCCAAGCTTCCGAATTCTCAAGCTTCCGAATTCTCAAGCTTTGAATTCTGAAACTTCTGAATTCCAAGCTTCCGAATTCTCAAGCTTCCGAATTCTCAAGCTTTGAATTCTGAAACTTCTGAATTCCAAGCTTCCGAATTCTCAAGCTTCCGAATTCTCAAGCTTTGAATTCTGAAACCCCCGAATTCCAAGCTTCCGAATTCTCAAGCCCCGAATTCCAAGCTTTCGAATTCTCAAGCTTCCGAATTCTCAAGCTTTGAATTCTGAAACTTCCGAATTCCAAGCTTCCGAATTCTCAAGCTTCCGAATTCTCAAGCTCCGAATTCCAAGCTTCCGAATTCTCAAGTCCCGAATTCCAAGCTTCTGAATTCTCAAGTCCCGAATTCCACTTGGACATTTGGGAATTTGAGAATTTGAGAGATTAGCAATCTGCAAACTTAGGGAACTGGAGCTTCCGAAGTTTGAAAGTTTAGACAATGGGAGTTTCCCCATTTCCATATTTCGAAATTTGGGAATTCAGAAATTTGGGGGTCAGAAAGTTAGAATCTTAGAGCTTCAGGAGTTCAGACATTTGAAGGTTCAGAAATTTGAAAAGTTAAAGATTGTTCCGAAATTTAAGACTCTGGAAGCTAAATGAGAAAATGTTGCAAAAAAGAAGTCAGCATAAAAATTCTCTCCCGTATCGTTTCCCTATCACCGCAGCAGTTATTCATAGAATTTTCTCCCTCTCGACACGTAACACTGTTATCCGATAAAAAGGCAATTACCGATAGTTGAGCAATATTACCAACAACTTTCTAAATATAACCGATACCGATAGAATTCGAAGTCACCGTAATCGTAACGGCAGCGAATGATTTCTGCACAGTAGCAAAGTGAGCAGTGACCGTTGATTCGAAAGCGGGTAATTACCGCGACTAACTAATTGCGACTAAATTGATACTACGAGATCCATGGTGCGTCACGTGCGTCGCGTGCTAGACGGGTCCCATGGTTAGCGGAGTTCGTGGCACGATTAACATTGCCGACACGATACAAATAAGGTACCGTTGCATTCGACGTTGCATTCCTTGCTCTCGACTCACGGACTGACACTGACGACCCTGCATCGTCTAGAAATCAAAACGTGTCCTGCTTGCTAAGCTGCTTCTGGCGATTCGCGAACTGGTACACTGGTTCATCCTTCTTTTTTCTTGTCTGCCTACTCTGTTATTTCTTGTGTTTTGTGGCAATTCGGAGAACTAATGGTACTGCAAAATTGATGGTGGCACTTGTTTTGTGGCTGTGTGCATGTCTGAAGATTTTATAAAATAGCACTTGTCTTGTAGCAATTTGATCTGAAGGTCCTGCAAAATTGATATAAAATAGTACTTGTCTTGTAGCAGTCTATACATTTGAACATCCTGCAAAATTCATGAAAAGTAGCACATATTCTATAGCAATCTGATCTGAAGATTTTACAGAATTGATGGAAAATTAGCACTTGTCTTGGAGCAATCTAATCTGGAGTTCTTGCAAAATTGATATAAAATAGCACTTGTCTTGTAGCAGTCTATACATTTGAACATCCTGCAAAATTCATCAAAAATAGCACATGTTCTATAGCAATCTGACCTGAAGATTTTACAGAATTGATGGAAAATTAGCACTTGTCTTGTAGCAATCTAATCTGAAGTTCTTGCAAAATTGATATAAAATAGCACTTGTCTTGTAGCAGTCTATACATTTGAACATCCTGTAAAATTCATGAAAAGTAGCACATATTCTATAGCAATCTGACCTGAAGGTCCTGCAAAACTGATGGAAAATAGCACATGTCCTATAACAATTTGATCTGAAGGTCCTGCAAAATTCATAAAAAGTAGTACATGTCCTACAGCAATTTAATCTGAAGGCCCTGCAAAATTGATCTAAAACAGCACTTGTCTTGCACCCATTTGAAGGTTCATTTTTTAAAAATGACTCTGTAGGTTGAGGCTTCCAAACTGTCTAGAAGTCAGTATATCATCAATTGTTCTACATGAATAATCTTTAGCTAGCTGGATATTTAAAAACAATTTTGGATGGACAAAATAACGAAACGTTTGTATGAATATTTTGCACAAGCCTTAAGCTTCAGGTTGATGCAACAGAATCGATTGTGCTGGTGTTATGTCATAAGGTGTCAGGGTATGAAGCAGTTTAGTAGGTTTGAAGCAGGTCATTGGTAATAAGCAGTAGCCATTTTGTGTTCAGTATATTAATAAACCCTTTAGGCAGTAATTTGGACCTCAATCTTTAAATTTATGTAGCATAAATATTAATTAAGCTAATATTATGCTACTTTTGTGTCATCAAATTGTATCTGCCTGTTCTCAAGTAGTTTTCTGTCCTCAACATCTAATAAACTTAACATCGTTCACATGTTCGAGCTTGGAAAGTTATATCCATAATTGTAACCATAATTGTAACCATAATTGTAACCATAATTGTAATCATAATTGTAATCATAATTGTAACCATACTTGTAACTATAATTATAACCAAAATTATAACCATAATTATAACCATAACTATAATCATAATCATAACCATAATTGTAACCATAATTGTAACCATAATTGTTACCATAATTGTAACCATACTTGTAACCATAATTATAACCATAATTATAACCATAATTGTAACCATAACTATAATCATAATCATAACCATAATCGTAACCATAATTGTAACCATAATTGTAACCATAATTGTAACCATAATTGTAACCATAATTATAACCATAATTATAACCATAATTGTAACCATAATCATAACCATAATCATAACCATAATCATAACCATAATTGTAACCATAATTGTAACCATAATTGTAACAATAATTGTTACCATAATTATAACCATAACTATAACCATAACTACATATAGCCATAATTATAACCATAACTATAACCATAATTGTAACCATAATTATAACCATAAAAAATTCATGTCCACACCTCATACCTTATTAAGAACAACAGTCGAGAACCCTTTGAATTTAATCGAAACGAATTTAATTAGCGCGTATCATATGCTAACAAGCGACGTTATCTGTCGACCGATAGGTCCGTTCCTTATCGACCGGTATTAAACGATTATGTTCCTCGTTATCGCGTTAGGAACGAACCTAATCCTTGTAAGTTAGGTCAGAGTGCATCGTCGACGACACACGATAAATCGCCGAGGCAAAACAACAGCGTTGCGATGCTAGGCGCTCGCGTTATCGTCAGATGCTACCGATGAGTAACAATGAAACAAAGCAGTAGACGCGATTACATCGCTTTTGTTTCGCGAAACAAAAGCTTTCGCAGTTTTCTTCTCGCGCGTGGGTGAAAATATCGAGATTCCACTACGCTCTTGAACGCATAGGTACTTTTTTAAGTAATCTGAATATTTGGTTGTTGCAGATATGGCACAAACAGTGCTTCAAATGTCAGGGTTGTGGAATGATTCTGAACATGAGGACGTACAAGGGGTTCAACAAACAGCCATACTGCGAGGCGTAAGTCAAGTTTTTTTTATTTTTGTTTCAAGTGTGTTGAACTTCGTTTATGATAATTCGTCTTGGAAATTTTTCTAAATATTTAAAATTAAGAAAAAATTTTGTTGTGGTTTTGTGGTTCTTTTTTAATTTGTAGTTGATTCGGTTTTGTTTCCAATTTGATTTAATAGAGGGTAGTTTTTAGTTTGATTTTCTAGCTTATATTTTTAGTAATATTTAAATTTTGATAACATTGTGGATTTTCAGAAGAAGGTTACAATTTTAATTTCGCATAATATTTTGTCCTTTCTTAGAACTTGTAAAATAAAATATTGAAGTTAAGCAATATATACGCGTGAGAAAGAAAATTTTGATACCATGATCAATTCCTGGGAAAAAATCTCAACATTTCTGTATACGTTTTAGCTGACTGCAACGCAAGCAGGAGTTATCTTACACTTCTCGTGGAATTCGACGTGTCAGAGATTTTCTGGTTCTTTTGCTTACATTGCAATTTGGTCATTTGTTAACTATAATAACTAAGAAAGCGATGAAACTTTAAACTGAAGTACAGAATGTATGGGAAAAGTTATGCGAAAAGGAAATGGCTTATGAAGGCTACTTCCAGTTCTGTGGAATGTGTAGACTATTTATTTTACTTAACCGGTGAGAAGCTTAAATATAATCTTGAGAGACGTACGAAATTTTTACGTTCTTAAAATCTCGGAAATTAGGAATTCCAAAATTCCGAATTCTCAAGTCCCGAATTCCAAGCTTCCGAATTCTCAAGCATCGAATTCCAAGCTTCCGAATTCTCAAGTCGCGGATTCCAAGCTTCCAAATTCCCAAGCCCCGAATTCTCAAGCTTCCGAATTCCAAGCTTTCGAATTCTCAAGCTTCCGAATTTCCAAGCCCCGAATTCTCAAGCTTCCGAATTCCCAAGCTCCGAATTCTCAAGCTTCCGAATTCCAAGCTTGCGAATTCTCAAGCTTCCGAATTCCAAGCTTCCGAATTCCCAAGCCCCGAATTCTCAAGCTTTGAATTTTCAAACTTCCGAATTCCAAGCTTTTGAATTCTCAAGCTTCCGAATTCTCAAGCTTCCGAATTCTCAAGCTTCCGAATTCCAAGCTTTCGAATTCTCACGCCCCGAATTCTCAAGCTTCCGAATTCCAAGCTCCGAATTCTCAAGCTTCCGAATTCCAAGCATCCGAATTCTCAAGCCCCGAATTCCAAGCTTCCGAATTCCCAAGCCCCGAATTCTCAAGCTTTGAATTCTCAAACTTCTCGAATTCCAAGCTTCCGAATTCTCAAGCATCGAATTCCAAGCTTCCGAATTCTCACGCCCCGAATTCCAAGCTTCCGAATTCTCACGCCCCGAATTCTCAAGCTTTGAATTCTCAAACTTCCGAATTCCAAGCTTTCGAATTCTCAAGCTTCCGAATTCTCACGCCCCGAATTCCAAGCTTCCGAATTCTCACGCCCCGAATTCCCAACTTCCGATTTTCAAAATTCCCAATTTCCAAATCCCAAAATTCCAAATCCCCCACCTCCACACTTACCAAAACGAGGTCAGTACTGACTACGCAACCCGTCCATTAAAAGTACACAAACCGAGCAAAGTAGAAAATTGTCGGATCAGATACCCGATTACCCTAATTACGAGATAAGGAAAATTTGAAGTATCCTCAGACGGCGACACAAGATTGTTGGTATTTTCCCGTCTAATTTCACCCATACAAGGGGATAATTAGAGTCTCCGTGCACCAGCGAATATAACCTGTAATAACGAACAGCTCTGATCGAAATATTAATAGGAACAGTTCCAAGATATTATCTTATCTATTGATTAACGAGCCATCGTAGCAAGATACACAACAAGATTACCCGGAAATCGATTATCAGTTCGATCATTTTTGCTCAATTCGACGGAATAATTATGGGAACGTTAAATTATAATCCTCGAGTAACCTGTTAATTAACGCTGCAAGATTTACCTGACAATTCGAGCACGAAGGTGTTTCTCGTAAGTGATAATATTGATGCATAAATTTCATTTTTAGGCTAACATTTGAAAATTTCTTCGATAGCGTTTGCTAATTATCGTTGGATGATACCTTGAAATTGATTTCGAGTTCCGCTCAATTTCTTATCACCGACGTATATTAAAATAAATTTATCTGCAGGGGAAGGCCGAGGAGAGAGCGTGCAAGATTAAACGCTTTTTCGTGATTACTTCTCCACATCTTCTTTCGATTCATTCGTAAAACGGTTCTGGGATTTGCTTCACCTAATTACTTTGTTACAAAAATTTGCTATTCGAGAAATTATTTATCTTTCTTGGAGCTGCTTCACAAGAATCAGAGCTAAATTTTGAAAACTGGGTCCTCTATCTATAATTCATTTATTTTTTTCACTCTCTAAATACATTTGGAGAATACTATTTTATATTACAGTCACATAACTTTTTCTTAACTGCAAAAATAAAATAGGTACAAAATTTTTTATTGAAAACCTTGATACACCAAATAATTTCTGACATGACACCCATGTTTTCAATTGCCTTCGTAAGTTTTGAAAAATTTGTTCACTCACTAAATACATTTAGGGAACAGTATTTTATATTACAGTTACGCAACTTTTGCTTAACTGTAAAAATAAAACAGGTACAAAATTTTTTATTGAAAACCTTGATACACTAAATAATTTCAGACATGACACCCATGTTTTCAATTGCCTTCGTAAGTTTTGAAAAATTTGTTCACTTACTAAATACATTTGAAGAATACTATTTTATATTACAGTTACATAACTTTAACTTAACTGCAAAAATAAAACAGGTACAAAAATTTTTATTGAAAACCTTGATACACCAAATAAGTTCTGACATGACACCCATGCTTTCAATTGCCTTCGTAAGTTTTGAAAAATTTGTTCACTCATTAAATACATTTAAGGAACAGTATTTTATATTACAGTTACGTAACTTTAACTTAACTGCAAAAATAAAATAGTTACAAAAATTTCACTTGAAAACCTCAATATCTTACATCAAATTTCTGACACATTTGCATAAACCTTAAAATTTAATATTTCAAAATTCCCTTTCATCAAAAGATACAAACAAGACCCACAATTTTTCTGCAAATCTAACGGACGACAGCAGAAAAAATTTGTTCGAAAACGGATGATTCGTAGTTACATAATTGTTGCAGACAAGTAGGCATTTGGTGTGCAGTGCTGGAAAGGTAAGAAGATTACGCAAGCAGTCCTTGAACATTCGGCATGATTAATCCGGTTTCTTAGCCCCTTTATTCGATGTAGAAATAAGGACGATTTCCCATCGTATGACAAGTTAATTCACGATCGAGAGCGATCGATTTATTGCGGTTCACGCGAAGCGAGAGATCGGCACGTTTTACCGTAAAGCGGTGACTCGCGGAGTATTCAGATTGAGCATCTGCGATGACGAAATCTTTCCACAACGCGTTTCGAATCCACGTTTCACCGCTCTCGCGAATTATTCGCTGCGTAACCGGATTGCAATCTTCTCGGATCCAAAATTCATTGTCAGTTGCAAAATTAACTTTTTGTTGCCAACTGCGATTAAACCTGTGTCACGGTCGTTGTGAGCTAACTTTGGTTTACTATTCGAAATTTTGTGGAGGGTCTAAATGGAGCCTCCAAGTTTATCGAAGTCATTGACATGTACAGAAAATTCATTGACACACTTAACATTTTTAGCAAACGTTTTGATGTTTCGTTTGGAGAACATGGCTAGAAAGTTGAGAAGTTAACACTTCTGGCTAGAAAGTGGACATTGCTGCATGTGCATCGTTGAGTAGCAGTGGGTGAAGTAAAATAATCATCAAGTTCAAGTAAAATAATCATTGAAATACTTGTTATCCTCATGTGATGACCTGTCAGTGAACAGAGCTAAAATATTCTCCTGGAACTTGAAGCTATCTCACATTATTTAAAATAGTGTATTTTGATGAAGATAGAACTTCAAGATTGTAATATGTAGCTCTAAATGCTGTTAAATATCATACTTCATAGGTGCACCTCATAGATAAACTTCAGAGATGAATATCTAAACAGAGGAATATAGTTCAAAGAAGGATCACCAAATAGATGAACATAGTTGATATAAGAATAACCAAACAGATGAATATAGTTCAAAGAAGAACCACCAAATAGATGAACATAGTTGAAAGAAGAATAAGCAAAGAGATCTACATGAAAGAATAACCAAATAAATGAATATATTTCAATGTACAATAACAAACTAGTTGTGTACCCTTCAACCTAACCTAACTAAGTAGAATGTACCTTAAAGAAGAACACCAAAATTTGCTAACTAAATTGTGCTAAAAAGAGTAATAATTTATCCTGAGATTAGTGTCCCAAAAACCAACCTAAAAACTACCTAACCTAATCTAACCTAACCTACCTAAGTAAAATATCCCTCAAAGAATACCAAAATTTGCTAACTCAAGAATACTAAAATTGTGCTAAAAAGAGTACCAATTCATCCTGAGATTAGTGTCCCAAAAATCAACCTAAAAACTACCTAACCTAATCTAACCTACATAAGAAGAATATCCCTCAAAGAAAAATACCAAAATTTGCTAACTGAATTCCGCTAAAAAGAGTACCTAACATTTGAGATTTGTGTCCCTTATAAATAATTTCTGATTCTCATTAAAATGCCATATCGAAAGCCAGGCAGAAGTTTCGTATTCCCCGGCAGCCAAGTGCATGTGTCAGCAATGCGCGTCGAATCAGACGATGAACTGAATAAGCAAAGCAAGAGAACACATGTGAGTCGTGAGATTCATTCATTCGTCTGGTATCCTACCCCTCGCTTCTGTCCATCTCTCGCCATCATTTCCCTTGCTCTTTATCTTCCCCCTTTCTCGCGTCTGTTCATCGTTCATTTAATTTTTATGAGCCCGTATATATACGCGTTGTCTGCTGGACGACCTCCTTCGTTCAACCCGGTTTGACCTATCGGTGGCTCG